AAACACTACTGCTCCCCCGAGACTCCCCATATTTAAAGGCAAGTGCGTCACTGCGGGGCTGCCCGTGCCCCCCTATCAATGTGCAAATGCTGCTGCCCCTTGTACCGCACGGGTGTGGTGCGGGGCGCGGAGCTCAGCTCCCACGGCCCCGCGCCCAGCTGCCCTGTACGTCCCCGATGGCTATTAAAGGATCCTTCTGCAGGGCCACGTGTGTCCCCATCTTTTGTCATCCCGCTCCGGGGCTGGCCCCTCTGAGCAGGCAGGGCAGGGCGGCGGGAGGATCCAGAGGGGCGGAGGGTGTGTCCCGAGTAGCGAGGGAATCCTGCCCTATCCCCGAGCAGCGGCGGCGGTGAACCGGACCTGTGGCGTCAATCATTAACCGGGGCCGGCTGGGCGGTGCTGCAGTCGGACGGCGGAGGAGGGGAATCGGCTGTCTCCCCACGTCGGGCGGTGGGTTGGCAAGGCTGGGCCGCAGCTCCAAGCCGCAGAGGCCGCGGTGCCGCCGTTCCCGGGCCCCCGCGCTTTTTCCCCCCCTTCCCCCCACTTTCAAACTCGGCGCCGCCGATTGGTTGCCTGCCCTGCCACTCCGCCACTGCGCCAGTCGCCGTTGGTCGGCGCTGCTGGAGAGGCGGGCTCTCCCCCACCCTATATAAGGGGCGGTGGGGCGCTGCGCTCCTTCTGCTGCGCCGCGCCCGCCGCACGGACGAGTGTCTGCTGCCCTGCTCGTGTCTCGCCATGGCCAACCCCGTCGTCTTCTTCGACATCGCCGCTAATAACGAGCCCCTGGGTCGCGTCACCTTCGAGGTGGGCGCGGGAGGCGGCCGGGGAGGGGCGGGGGGCGCCGCTGCCGTTTCCGCTCCGGGAGCGGCGGCGCGATGCCAGCCCGGGGCGCGCCATCGCCCGAGGCAGGCCGTCCGCACCTGGTCCGGTAGCGCTCGTTCCCCCTTACCGCTGGGCTCGCCGCCGCCGCGTTCCCGCCGCGCCTCCGCTCCGCCCCGGGGCCGGGGGGGCGCGGCGGTTCCCCCCCACTGCGGGTCGCGGCCGCCATTTTATCGCAAGGCCCCCGGAGCATCGGGATGAGCCCTGTGGGGCTCCCGGGCGGCGCTGCCCGAGCCTGGGGATGCCGGCGGGGAGTGCCGGCAACCCGATCGCCGCGGGATTGTCGCTGCAGGGCGAGGCATTTGTCACCCCGCCCGGGGCGCACAGCATCCCTGGCACGGCCGGGCCTGCTCCGGGCGCCGCGCTCCCGCGCGGGCGGCGCATCCAGCCCAAAACCCTCCTGAAGCGCTGGGAGGCGGCGCGCGCGCCCCGCCCAGGAAGGCTTCGGGCACATTAATGTTTAATTTAATCCAGGCCAGCGGAACGAACGCTTCTCTGCCCCGCTGGTGAGACGGGCGATGCCGCAGCTGTTAGTTCAGAGCTTGCGGATAACGGTGTGAGGCAGGGAGGAATCTAGAGCTGCTGGCACGGCTGAGAAGCTCCCACCGCTGGGGGTCCCTGGGCTCTGAGCAGTGTCTGGGGGCATTCCCTCGGTCTGGAGTGGCATGGGGTCATTGGCCAGTCATCAGCCCGGATTTGACAAATGCCTTTCCTGTCTTTTACAGCTGTTTGCAGACAAGGTCCCGAAGACAGCAGGTTGGTAAAGCAACTTTAGCTCCCCTGCAACTGCACCAAGCCCTGTCCTGAACTCAACAAATAAAGCTGTTCATGGTGTGGTTTTATTTCCTTTGCAGAAAACTTCCGTGCTCTGAGCACTGGTGAGAAGGGATTCGGCTACAAGGGGTCCTGCTTCCACAGAATCATTCCTGGGTTCATGTGCCAGGTGCGTGGTGCTCCCATTGCAGGGGGTGGGTGGGTGAGGCAGTCTGGAACTCGGGTAGGTTTTGGAGTTGGATGCTGGCAGATCCAGGGTGAGAGGTTGGTTCTGCCTTATGCCTGCACCCAATTCCAGAGTGTTGTTCTGCACCCATATCTGAAACGTTGCCTTTTCACAGGGCGGTGACTTCACACGCCACAATGGCACTGGAGGCAAATCCATCTATGGGGAGAAGTTCCCAGATGAGAACTTCATCCTGAAGCACACGGGGCCTGGCATCCTGTCCATGGCCAACGCCGGCCCCAACACGAACGGTTCCCAGTTCTTCATCTGCACTGCCAAGACCGAGTGGTGAGGAGGGGGAAGAGAAGCTCGGGGGTCTTTGTGGGGGCTGTCAGGGACCGGCTGTGACCTGTGCTTCTCCTGCAGGCTGGATGGCAAGCACGTCGTCTTCGGCCGCGTCAAGGAGGGCATGAACGTGGTGGAGGCCATGGAGCGCTGCGGCTCCAAAGACGGCAAAACAAGCAAGAAGATCACCATCACCGACTGCGGGCAGCTCTCGTAAAGCCTCCTGCCACCGACTGACATTCCCCGGGCAGCCTGCCCCACTGCAGCTCACCCGCTCCCACCCTGCTCCCGATGTACTGCTGCGTTTCTACTGGGTCACGGTCCCAGTGACCTTGGAGTCTGAATAAAACGAGTTCAACTACTCAGAGCAGCTCCCTTCTGTGCCCACCTGGGGAGGGGTTTGGTGCTGGTGGGGGAGGAAAAAAAAGTAAAAAACGTGTTGAGGGGGCAAGAGGTTGGCACCCCAGTAGGATCCAGAGTGAAGAGAGTAAGCTGGTCTGGGCACTGAAGTGATCCATGGGGGTTCTTAGTGTTTCAGCCCTTTAGAACCCAAAATCTACCCTGCACCCCCCAAATCAACCCCTGGATCCTCACAAACAACCCTTGGGACACTCCAAATCCACTTAAAGACATCCTAATCCACTTAAGGACATCCTGAGCCCTCAAATTCACCACAAGACCTCCCCTCAGACACCCCCTATTCCCTGGGACTCCTCTGGCAGCCCCCAAATGTAACCTGGAAACCTCTCCTTCCCAGGAATCCCCCCAAACACCTACTGGGACCCTCCAGACCCCCTAAATCCACAACCTGGAAACCTCTCCTTCCCAGGAATCCCCCCAAACACCTACTGGGACCCTCCAAGCCCCTCCAGACCCCCTAAATCCAGCCTAGTACACCCCAGAGTGACTGGGAACCCCAACCCCCCTGCCAGGGACCCTCCAACCCCCATTTGATGCCCTCAAATCCACCTCAGAATCCCCCCAAGGAGCCCCCGGGGTTCCCCACCACCCTCTAGATCCCCCAAATCCACCATGAGATGCACAAACATCTGGTGAGAGGCCCCTGAGACCACCCAAAACCACCCTGGGACCCCCCTAAAGACTCCCTGGGACCATATTTGATGCCCCCAAATCCACCTCAGAATCCCCCCAAGGAGCCCCCGGGGTCCCCCACCGCCCTCTAGATCCCCCTAATCCACCATGAGATGCACAAACATCTGGTGAGAGGCCCCTGAGACCACCCAAAACCACCCTGGGACCCCCCTAAAGACTCCCTGGAACCCCCTGGGACCACCCCTATACAAAGCCCCCCCTGCACACTGTTCCAGCCCCACCACGTCCTTGCCTTCTCCCCACCACACGGCCTTGTCCTCCCCCCGTGTCCTTGTGTGCCTCCTGATGTCCTTGTGTCCACCCATCCCCCAGAGACATCCCAGCCTGGATGTCCCCTGTGCCCCTTCCCCTGTGGTGGCACTGTCCCTGTCCCATTGGGGGGTCCCTAGAGGGCTGTCTGCGTGTCCCCAGGCTGTCATTGTGTCCCCTTTCCCCAGAGTGGATGTCCCCACTGTGCCCTCCAAGTCTCCATGCCCAGGATATCCCCAAGATGTCACCCCCTTGTCCCCCCCAACCTGGGGTGTCCCCAAGGTGACAACCAGGGTGTTCCCATGTTCCCTGCATGTCCCCAAAGTGTCCCCAGGGTGATGATGGCCCCAGACCAGGATGTCCCCATGGCTCCCACAGCCCCCTCCGTGTCCCCTGTGCCCATCCATCTCATTCCCCCTCCTGTGCCTTCCATGTCCCCCATATCCCCCTCATGTCCCCACATCCCCCCTGTCCCCCTGTGTCAGCTGGTGCTGCAGGAGGGCCAAGGGTGGTCCAAGGGAGGGATCCCCACATTGAGATATCCCCCCCTTCTGCAGTACCCCTCCCGAGGGCCCTCCCCTAGTGACACATCCCAGGGTAGGGGGGATCCCCTTCCTGACTTCAGCACCCCTCAGATTATTGTGGGTCCCCTCCTGTAACCATGCCAGGACCCACTCCCTGGAGGGATGTCACCCCGCAAGGGGACATCCCTAGGACTCACACTCTGTTGGAGACCTCCCTCGCTACTGCTGAACCCCCAAAAATGTCTCTGATCCTCAAATGCTGCCGCCAGAGTGAGGGAAATGGGGGGCAGGCAGGATCTGGGTGCAGGGACTTAAGGGGGGGTGGGAGCACCCCCATGGGGATTGGGACAGGGGATATTTGGGGAGGTGAGGATTTGAGGGCTGAGGCACCCCCAGGGCGGGTGGCTCTTGGGAAATTTCAGTCCGGGGCACCCACAGGGGACTCAGGGGGTCCCCAAGGGGGAGGAATGAGTGGGTGCACATGGAAAGCTGATGCAAAGAGTTGGGGGGTGAACCTCGAGAGGACGGAGCTTAAAATGTGCCCTTTATAAGGTGGTGTTTGCAGGGGCAGGGCTCGAGGGGACACTTTTACAGTGGTGGGGTCAATTTGGGGGGTTGGGGATTAGAGGTTTGCTTTAGGGAGGAATCAGTAGGCAGGGGTTCTGGGGCAGGGACTACAGGTTTGTTTTATAGAGGATGGGGGGCTGCCTCCAGGGGTGGGGGGCCACGACAGAGCGGCCAGGCTTTGATGAAAAACGCGGCTTTGAGCCTCAAGGGGTGGGTTTTAAGGCGCCCTCTTATGGGGCTGACCTTAGGGGCCACTTTTATACTTACAGGGGGTGTTTGATGTGACGGCTCGCCTGTGCCACCTGCGAGGGGCAGGACTTTAGGGGTGGCGCTCCATGGGGCGTGGTTTGGGGGGCTCCCCCAATATAGGCGCTGTGCAGATCCCCCCCCCGCGGGCCATGGCGGTGCTGCTGCTGTGCGTGCTGCTGCTGCTGTCGCTGCTGCTGTCGCTGCTGTCGCGACAGCGCTGGCGCGGCCCGCGCTGCGGCGCGCTGCACCTGCTGCACCCGCAGGGGGCGCTGCACCTGAGCCGCCTGGCGCGGCGGCACGGGCCCGTGCTGCGCATGCGCCTGGGGGGCCGCGGTGAGTGAGGGGAGCCCGAAAGGGGCGCGAACCGAACCTGCCGGGACACCACAGCACCCCAAAAACTCCTCTCCCTGCTGCTTAGGGGGCACCCTAAAACCGGCCTGACCTGAACCTCCCTCTCCCTGCTGCTTAGGGGGCACCCTAAAACCGGCCTGACCTGAACCTCCCTCTCCCTGCTCCTTAGGGGGCACCCCGAAACCGACCTGACCCGAACCCCCTTCTCCCTGCTCCTTAGGGTGAGTGAGGGCACCCCAAAACCGACCCGAACCGAACCTTCCCCGGGACCCCACAGCTCCCCAAAACCCCCTCTCCCTGCTCCTTAGGGTGAGTGGGGGCACCCCAAAACCGATCCGACCCAAACCCCCCTCTCCCTGCTCCTTAGGGACTCCCCGAACCCCCAGCCCTGCCCTTTCCCCCTGCCGCGGGGACCTCCCCAACCTTCAGACCCCTCCCCAACACCCCCCCAAACCTCTCCTGGGGTCCCAGCCCCCCGATGCTCCCCCCAAAACCCCACGCCAGGGCTCTGTGCTTGCTTTGGGAACTGTTTTGGAGCAGCCCCAGCCCCTGCTCTCCCCTGCAGACGTGCTGGTGGCCAGCTCGGTGGCGACCATCCGTGAGGCACTGGTCCGGCACTGGGGGGACTGGCTGGGGCGCCCCCCCAGTTATCTGGGTATGGGGCCAGGGGAGCCCGGGTGGGCTATGGGGAGGGAGGTTGGAGGGGTTCCTGTGGGGTTTGGGGAGTGCCCTGTGGGTAGTGAAGCCCTTTGGGGCATTGGAAGGGAGTCACTGTGGGGTTTGCGGGGTTCTCTGTGGGGTTTGGGGGGCAAGTCCTTATAGGTTTGGAGGGCATCCCTATGAGGTTGAGGGAGTTGTTTTGGGATTTGGAGGGGGTCCCTATGGGGCTGGGGAGAGGGTACTGGGAGGGGGTGCGTTCTGGAGGGGAGGGTTGCCTGTAGGGCAGTCTCTAGAGCTCTCTGCCCCACCAGACACACCAGGGTTCCTGGTGGGATTAGGAGGGTCCTATGCAGGAGGCAGCTATGGGGTTGAAGGAGAGTTTATGAAGTAGAGAGGCACCATAGAACCTCCCTGGTGTACTGGAAGTGGGTCCCCAGAGGGGCTGGGGTGGTTTCTGGGGGTCCCTGACTGCTCCTGCCCAGCACCAGGGTCGCTGGTGTCACTGGAGGTGGGTCCCTGGCAGGGCTGGGGGGGTTTGGGGGGTCCCTGACTCCTCCTGCCCAACGCCAGGGTCGCTGGTGTCTCGGGGGGGCCGGGACCTGGCACTGGGAGCCCCCTGCCCTGGCTGGCGGCGGCAGCGGGGAGCGGTGCGGGGGGCACTGGCCCGGGCTGGGGGGCAGCTCGGGCCCCTCCTTTGGCTGCAAGGCCGGGAGTTGTGTGAGGTGAGACCCTAAAAAACCGACTTCTCCCCAAACTGATCCTCCTGCAACCCTGACACCCCCAAAACTGATCCTTCCCAAAACAGACCCCACACTTTGTTGACCAGCAAAACCCTGCCCCATGCCCCCCAAAACTGATACCTTAAACACCACCCCCTTCACCCCAACCCCACCCATGCCCCTTATCCGTGTCCCCTGCATCTGAAAACTGCCCCCCAAACCCTGCCCCCTGCACTCAACCCCCAATCTCTGCGTCCCAAACCCTGCACCCACACCACTGTCCCCCAAAACTGACCCACCCAAACCTCACCCTCTGCACCCCAAAAGGGCATCATTCCTGTGAGTCCCCAAAGCTCCCTTAGAGCTCTGCACTTCTCTCGTGTGACCCCCTAAAGCATCCTTAGACTCGCCCTTTATTTCCCCAGGCTCCCTCTAACCCTTTTTTCCCCCAGGAGCTGCGTTCCCATGGCGAGGCCCCCCTGGACCCCTTTGAGGTGTTCACCTTCCACACCTGCAGCACCATCGCACGCCTCCTCTTCGGGGACCTGGTGGGGATTTGGTGGGGGCCCAGGATGGAGACAGGGGTTTGGAGAGGACCCCAGCTTTTAGGAGGGCCCAGGGGTTTGGGGGGGACCCCTGGGAGTTTGTGGAGGGAGCTGTTTGGGGGGGACTGAGCAATTTGCAGGTGGGTGGCAGAGTTTGGGGGCACACAGGAGTTTGAGGGGACCCCAGGTGTCTGAAATGACGCTGGGGGTGTTCTGGGGGATCTTGAGCACTGGACAGTGCCCAGGTGTGTCCTCCTGCAGGTGCCCCCCCCGGGGGAGCTCCGGGCCTTCTCCCGCTGCCTGGGGGAGCTGCTGCAGGTCTGGGGGCACGGCAGTGTGCAGGTGCTGGACCTGCTGCCCCTGCTGCGGGTGAGCCTGGCAGCTCCTGTGGGTGCCCTTTTTGCTGCGTGAGGGGCTATGGAGCCTTCTGGGGGCAATGAGGGAGTGGTGGGGGGCTGAAGGGGGGCTATGGGCCCTTGGTGGGGGCTGTGTGGCCCGTGGGAGGGGTGTGGGGCTGGTGGGGCTATATGGGGTTGGGAGTGAGGTTTTAGGATGTGTGGGACTGGAGAAGAGTATGGGGGGCTGACAGGGAGCTTATAGGGTCCATAGGGGGCTTGGGTGGTGTCTATGGCACTGGGAAGGGACTGTATAGTGCTAGGAGGGGAAGTATGGGGTCTCTGCGGGGCTGGACAGGGGTTATAGTGTCTGTGTGGGGCTAGAGGGAGTGTTACAGGGTCTACATGGTGTTGGGGAGCTCTGTGGGCCTGGGAGGGGCAGTTGTGGGGGCTCTATAGGGCTGAGGTGGGGTAAAGTGTCTCCATGGAGCTGTAGGACATTGGAGGGGTCTGTATGGCCCAGGGGAGCAGCCATAGGGTTTCTCTGGGGCTCAGGAGGCATGCAGCATCTCTGGGGGAGGGGGTGTCTCTCTGAGGTCAAAGGTTTCTGGGGGTTGGGGTCCCTATGGAGTCCCTGTGCCCAGGCCCTGCCCAACCCAGGATTGCAGAAGCTGCTGCAGCTTGTCCAGCACCGGGATGCGTTTGTGGAAGCCCAGATCCAGCGGCACCAGGTGGGGAGCCAAGGGGCAGGGGAGACCCAGGGGTTTGGAAAATACGTGGGGGTCTGGAAGGACCCAGGTTCAGGAGTTTGGGGGGTACCCAGGGGCTTGGAGGCACCCACATATTTTGGAGGAACAGAGGTTTGTGGGGACTCAAGGGGGTGGGAGGAGCCGGGGGTCTCAGGGGGACATGGGGCTGGGGAGATGCAAGGCTTGGGGGAGAAACCAGGGGTTTGGGGGTTTGGAAGGGGATTTGTTTGGGTGCAGGTGGGGATCAGGAGAAACACGTGTCCTCCCTTTGGCAGGCCTGCTCCTCCCCTCCCCCGGGCACAGTTTTGGGGGCGCTGCTGGGGCACGATTCCAGGGCACGGGGGGGCCCCCTGAGCCCCCCCCGGCTGCACATGGCGCTGGTCGACCTGTTCATTGGGGGCACCGAGACCACGGCAGCTGCTCTGGGCTGGGCTGTGGCCTTCCTGCTGCACCGCCCCGAGGTGAAACCCGGGTCCCTCCATGGCTTCCGTGCAGCCCTGGAGGGTCCTGTGTCCCCCCCCGGGGGTCCTGTGTCCCCACCCACGTCCTATATGTGTTCTGTGTGTCCCTCATGTCCCCCTCTCCACGGGGTTCCTGCTGCTCTGTGTCCCCTGTACAGTGCCAAGGCTCCATGTGGGGGTCTCATATCCCCCCCCTTTGTGTCCTACATGTCCCCCTTGTCCTCCTCCCCATGGCTGACACCGTGCCCTTGCACCACCCTGAGGTGCCACATGGATGTCACAGACATTTCAGAGCTGTGTCCCCACGTGGCTCCTGGGTTTGGGGTTGCCGTGGACAGGTGCCTCAGGGTCTGGGGTTAGAGGGTCCCAAGAGGCAGATCTGGGGGCTCAGGGGTGTCCCCAAGGAGGAGGGGGGAGCAGGTTTGGGTCCCAGGGCAGGTTTGGGGGTTTGGAGGGATCTGGGGGGTTCAAGGGGGTCCTTAAGGGAGAGGGGCAGGCTTGGGGTCCCAGGGGCAGGTTTGTGAGCTGGGGAGGGTCTGGGGTGTCCCCCCGTCATCCCCTTGCCACGGCGTGCCCCCTGGGATGCCCCCGCTGCCCTGGCAGAGCAGACACCCCCTGTGCTCCCCCTGTGCAGCTGCAGGCGCGGCTGCGGGCGGAGCTGCAGGGGGCACAGGGACCCCCCGGGCCGGGGGACACGGGGCGCCTGCCCCTCCTGCAGGCCACCGTCAGCGAGACCCTGCGGCTGCGACCCCCCGCGCCCCTGGCACTGCCACACTGCGCCCTGCGCCACAGCAGGTACGGGACAGGCAGGGACAGGGGACAGGGCAGGGACAGGGGACAGGGACAGGGCGGGGACAGGGACAGGGCGGGGACAGCGCAGGGACAGGGGACAGCGCAGGGACAGGGACCAGTCTGTCTCCGTGCAGTCTTGGGGGGCTCCCCGTGGTGGCTGGCACTGTCCTGGTCCCCAACCTGCTGGCAGCCCAACAGGACCCTGACATCTGGCAGCACCCCGAGGTCTTCCTGCCTGGTATGTGGGTACACCTGCACTCTGAGTGCCCCCCCAAACTCCTGGGCTCTCCTCAAACATGAAACTGGGGCTTTCCCTGATTCCTGGCTATCCTGGGAACACCTTGGTGGCATGAGTGTCCCCCCAAACCCACACCCCCTCCTCCAAACCTGTGGTTCTCTCCCCCATCCCCATTAATCCCCCCATATATCTGTGTACCCCCACAAAACCTGTGGGTCCCTCTGTTCCTCCCTCCATCCCCCCCCACCCCCAAACTCCTGAGACTCCCTTAAGGTGTCTGAATCCCCTCTGTCACCGTGGGGTCTCCCCCGACCTTAGGGTCCCTCCGAGCCCCTGGGTCACCCCAAACCCCCATTTCTCCCTTCATGAACCCCGAGGTCCAGCCTGGGCAGCCCCCAGGTTCCCTCCAAACTTGCCGAGGTCCGCCCCTCAGTCTTGGGTCTCCCCGAAGTCCCGTGGGTGCCCCCGTGCCCCGGGACCCCCGGCGCTGACCCGTGGCCCCCAGAGCGGTTCCTGGCCCCGGGCGCTCCCTCGCGGTCGCTGCTGCCGTTCGGCTGCGGGGCGCGGTCGTGCCCGGGAGAGGGGCTGGCGCGGGCCGAGCTCTTCGTGTTCCTGGGGCTGATCCTGCGGGAATTCCGTCTGGAGCCGGGCCCGGCGGGGCTGCCGGGGCTGAAGGGGTCGCCGGGCACGGTGCTGCGCTGTCCCCCCTTTCTCATGCGTATGGTGCCCTGCCAGCCGCCGGGCTCACCCTGACCCCGCCTGACCACTGTTACTTTTCTGAACACTCTGTGACTCGCCTGAGTTTTTTTGAGCCTTGCTGAATACACCTGACTTCACCTGACCCTGTGTGACACTGCCTGAAGCTGGCTGACCGTGACCCCCTGACTGACCCCACCTGACCTCGGCCTCACCCCTGCCAGCCCTGTGCCTGACCTTGACCCCAGCTGTGACCCCAGCTGTGACCCCAGCTGTGACCCCACCTAACCCCTCTGACCCTGCTTGACCCCATCCCAACTCACCTGCCCACACCTGACTCCCATGGGTGCCCCCATTCAACACCAGGGTCAGTGCAGTGTGGGAGGGCCCCATTTACCTCCTCCTAATAAAATTTGTACTTTGGCCCCACCCCGCAAATCCCGGCTCTTCCTGGGACCCCCAAAACCTCCGCAACGCCCGAAGCCCAGCCTTTCCTCCCGCCCCACGACCGGCCACTCTCGGCAGCCGAACCCTCGGGCAGCACCGGGGGAGAGCGCTCCGGCTGGTTTGCCCTTCCCGGCCCCGCAAAGACCCGGTGCGGTTGCGCTCTCGGTCCGGTTGCGCTCTCGGTCCGGTTCGGGCTCGCAGCCCTGCGCGGCGCGCTGGCTTCCGCCGGTCCGCCTAGCAACAGGTGACCCGAAGCGATCTGATTGGCCTGTGCCTGGCAACCGGTACATCTGATTGGCTTGGAGCTGTTGAGGGCGCCGTGCCCTGAGGCGAGCGGGCGGCTGCGGCGCTCCGAACGTGCCGAGGAGCGCTCCCCCCGACCAAAAACGCGAGGGACAGGACAGAGGAGGGGCAGGGAAGGGACGAGACCGCCCGAGCCATGTGTTCCAAATGGGGACAACAGCAAGGGAGGGGTAGGCAAGGCAAGGGGACGGTAAAGGCAACGCAAGTAAAGGAAGGGGCAGGCAAGTTACAATTAGTTCATATCAGTCCTTGAGCAGAGAGCTCCGCTTGTCCGTTGTCTCCTGCAGCCTCAGTTTTGGCTTGTTTCAAGGTCCGAGGGGCCCCTCTTATCTTCCTCTAGCTTGGAAGTTCACATTCCTTTCACCTCGTTCGAGGCAGATTTGCAAGGTACAGGCTTTTTCGAGCACAGCAAATTTAACAGACTCAACAGGTTAAATCAAAACAGCACACTCCGCCTAAATCTGAAATGTATTTCTAACCCAAGTTAATTCCTAATGTCTCACTCGGCAGGAGATGAGGGATTTTTAGGGATTTTTTAGAACTATTGAGGGCAATTTTAGGACTTTTTTAAGAGTAGGTATTTTTAGGGTTTTGGAGGGAATTTTTAGGGGTTTTTTTAGGGTCTTATCAGGGCATTTTAATGATTTTTAGGGGTAGAAGGAAAGGAAAGTCTAGCACCCCGTTGTTTAAGGGGCTGTGTAGGGGAGGGAACTCCCCACAGGATCTTTCTTCACCTCGGCCCCCACTCCAAGGTGCAGCAGCTGCTCTCAGAGGGTTACCCAGGCACACCCGTCCAGAGGGGCTAACGGGGGTATCCCAAGTGTGAAAAACGCCAATCACTTGGATACAGCATAACTTTCTAGCATAACACAATATTCATTTTAATACTCGCGAAAAGCCAACCACAAAATACCCATTTTTCACAGCCCCTGAAGCCCGCGATCCTTGGCTGTCGGGCAAAAAGAGCTGCGACGCTGCCACGCCGCGAGGAGGGCCGGTGACACAGCAGAGGAGCGCGGAGCGCACCGAGCGGCTCCGCCCGTGCGGCGGCACCGGACGCGGCGTGACGCCACTGCCGGCACCGCCTCCGTGCGACCGCCGCTTCCCTTCCCTCCGTGAGATCGCCGCTTCCCTCCGTGCGATCGCATCCTCCCTTCCCCGCGACCGCCGCCTCCTTCCCCCCGACCGCCTTCCCTCCGTGCGATCGCCGCTTCTTCCCCGCGATCGCATCTTCTCTTCCCCGCGACCGCCGCTTCCCTCCGTGCGATCACCGCCTCCGTCCGTGCGATCGCTGCTTTTTCCGTGAGATCGCCGCTTCCCTTCCCTCCGTGCGACCGCCGCTTCTTCCCCTCGACCGCAGCTCGTTCCCCGGGACCGCCGCCTGCAGCTCCGACGATCGCTCGGTGCCGCTGCCGGCCATGAGCAAGCGCAAAGCTCCGCAGGAGAGCCCCAACGAGGGCATCACCGACTTCCTCACCGGTAGGTGCCCGCGCTCGGCCGGCTCCGTGCGCGGCGAGGGCCGCGCCCCGGCCGCTCTCACCGCGGTTCTCCCGCAGAGCTGGCCAACTACGAGCGCAACGTGAACCGGGCCATCCACAAGTACAACGCGTACAGGTACCGCTTCCCTCCCGCCGCGGCCCCGTCCCGGGCCCCTGCCCCGTCCCGGGCCCCTGCCCCGTCCCGGGCCCCTGCCCCGTCCCGGGCCCCTGCCCCGTCCCGGACCCCTGCCCCGTCCCGGACCCCTGCCCCGTCCCGGACCCCTGCCCGTGCGGCCGCTGACCGGACCTGTTCCGCAGGAAAGCGGCCTCGGTCATCTCCCGGTATCCGAGCAAGATTCAGAGCGGGGCTGAAGCCAAGAAGCTGGTAGGTGCTCGTGTCCGGGTTGTGGGGATGAGGTTCTGGCAGCGCCTCCTTCCCTGCCCCAGTCAGAGTTTGGGGATGTGGACCCCAGTTTGGGGGCTTCAGAGCTGGAACTGGGCATCCCATCTGAGCTTCTGCCTGTAAAAATGTCTTTTCTCTTTGCTCTCTTACTCCTTTGTTATAAATCTTGAGCAGTAAGAATCAAAGCCTTGTTCGAACTTATCACTTCAATCCTGATATAGCCCTTGCATTACAGCATTTATGCCATTTATATTGTACCCTCGAATTCTTGTGCTCTTTTACACTCTAATGTTTTGTTGTGGTCTGGGGTGCCCCATAGTTCTTTCTGGGCTCTAAATTCTAGGGAGTTTTCCTTGCTTTCCGCATATAATGACTTCAAGTGATTTTTAAGTTAACTTGTTTGTACTCACCCCCAATATTTAGGATGGAGTGGGTGCTAAAATAGCTGAAAAGATAGATGAGTTCTTATCCACTGGGAAACTACGTAAATTGGAAAAGGTGGGTATCTTTCTCCTGTTCTGTATTTCTCAATAGCTGCTTTTCTTGATAACTTGCAAAGTAGTTGGTTTGCTCTGCACGTTTCTGTTGTTGTCCCTGGACAGTTTTAGGAGTGGTGAACAGAGGAGTGGGTAAGTAGAAATCAAGGATTGAGAAGCTCAGCATGCAGGTCCTCTGTCAGAAGTGGAAATCTGTTTGGAGTTTTGTGCTTTAAGTCTCCTGTTCTCCTTAGCACGGCCAGTTGGGTGGTTTTCAGGCTAGTTTCATGTGGCATTATTGTGATCACCATGCTGCCCTTGGTACTGCTTTGCAGTGACTTGCAGTGAACCTCCAAACCAGAGTCTAAGCTGTTTTGTCTTCTTAAGGCTTCTTTTTGTTTGTTTATTGCAAATGGAGTAAAGAAAGATTTGGGTTTTACTCTTTTGTTTTTTGTAGATTCGACAAGATGATACAAGTGCTTCTATCAATTTCCTGACACGAGTCACTGGCATTGGGTAAAAGTTTCTTGGGGTGTTTTTAGGGCTTTTTTTTCCCTTTCTGTTAATTTGATGGACTTATGAGTAGAATTTGGATGATTGCACATAATAGAATGAGCTTGAGCTGCTGATGTAATGCCCACACTGACACACTGTAGTTGTGATTATGGGATTGAGTGAAACTAAAGGGTGTAGAATGATGAATTGCAGACTTTGTGGTGGAGGAGTGGAAGTGGGAAGCTTCCTGAGAGGAGGAGAGAGATGTGGGTCAAGAATGGAACTGTGTAAGTGAGACTCTGGCCTCAGAAGCAGAGCCTTGAAGGAGGCAACAAAACAAAAACAAACAAATAAAAAAATGCAGTGTTATTGTGCATTTGGTATTACTGTCTGAAGCAATATTGCCTATTTGCTGTGACTTTTTAAACTTCTTACAATTATACATCACTCTATAGTTATATCAATGCTAAAAAACGTGCAGGCCAAGCTTTAGATCTCTGCTGACCAAAAGCATAAACTGAAAATGAGTATGCTGAAAAAATGTAAGCATCACAAGCAACCTCAGTCTCAGCCTTTAAGAACCTACACAGCTGTAAATAATTCTGATGTCTTGTTCAGTGTGGGAAGGTTCTTGCTGTTCCTGATGCCACATTGCCTTGTCTCCTTGCAGTCCTGCTGCTGCCAGGAAGTTTGTGGAGGAAGGAATTAAGACTTTAGAAGGTAAGTGTGAATATGGGGCCTTGGATTACACTCCAGTGATCTTTTTTTCTGTCAAGCTGCCTCTTCTGCAGTGGTAGCATGTATGCCCTAGGCTTTGAGGAGGGTGTGTAAGATGCTAAAGCTGGTACACAGGCTTAAGGCACTTCATACATATCCAGACTAAAGTATGTGCAGGTTACATGGAAGGTAACAAGGATTTTGGCTCTTTGGTGGTCTGTTAAGTCTTGTTGGAAGTGCTCTGTGCATTTGTGGTCATCCTATCAGCTGCTGTGTAGGTGGTTTGAAATTCCCTCCTTTGAGGTTGTATTCTCCTTATGTATTCTTTACATGCATCATCTTTGCGTTGATGGAAACTTACTCTAAGATTTTTAGTCCTCAGTTAACTATTTTGTTTGGACTTTTTTTCTAGATCTGAGAAAAATTGAGCACAAGCTGACCCATCACCAGCGAATTGGGCTGAAGTAAGCTTTGTTGGGTACAAGTGCTTGGTGTTTCTAATCATTCCTTCAGACACCAGGATTAATTAAGGTTACACAGGCTGAGTAAAGTTTTCTCTCTGTGCTCTACATGCTTTTCAGCAGTTCTTTAGAGCTTTTGTTTCATTCAGGTTGGAAGGCTTAGTCTCCATTCAGAGGGAAGTTAATTTCAAGTGATTTCCTCATTTAGCTCATGGAAAATCACTTTAGGGAGGTTGTGGAGTTGTTTCTTCACAATCTGCATGGAAGTGGCCCAGGCTGGTTTTTTATGTGCTGTGAGCAAGGTAATCTTTGCATGTCTGAACTTGAGAATGCTGCACAGAATGTGTGTCTGTCCCTCAGTATTCAGGCCAGTAAATTAGTATTCTTTCCTCTGATATATGTTTAATTGACTAAAATTTTAAGATGCTGCCCCTTGCCACTCTTTCAGATACTTCTGTTTTTATATTTGCAGATACTTTGAAGATTTTGAGAAAAGAATCCCGAGGGAAGAAATGCTGCAAATGCAGGTAAAAAATCTCATTGTTAAGGATGTGATGTACTGATGGCCAGTGAATGACTGGCCACCTCTAAACACACTTTTTCCTTTTTACATAGGAAATTGTGCTCCAAGAGATAAAGAAGCTGGACCCAAACTATATTGCTACAGTCTGTGGCAGTTTTAGGCGAGGTTGGTACTCTGTGATCTTGTTATCTTTATTTTGGGATAACAAGAAATACAAGTTACTGTGTTTGTTGTTCTTGACAGACTCTGTGCTGGAAGCTGGCCTTTCCTGTTAGTGTTGTCTTGACTGGCTGGTTCAGTGATGAGACACCCACATAAATCCTTGCTTCTCCATCCTTCCCCCACAGAGTAGTATCTTGTATAATGTGAATTGTTTGCCCTGTTTTTACATTAACAACATTTGTGTTTCATTGCTATAGAGTACAGCAAGAAATTCTTGGCTATTTTCTTACGTATGGAGAATATAAACTTCTGATTAAAAACCAAGGTTCTTTTACTTTAAGGTTATTTTTTGTTTTGCTAATATCTCTAACAGTGACCATTCCCAGCTAGAAAACCATGTTTACAAGAAGAGGTAAGATTACATTTAGCAACATTAGTATATTTTGCCACACACAGAAGGATTTTTCTTTGCTTCTTTCTTGCCTAGGTGCAGAGTCAAGTGGTGATATGGATGTTCTCCTAACCCATCCCAGTTTCACATCTGAATCATCCAAACAGGTGCCTTTCTCAGATGCCACAGATCAGAACTGTGCATTGCACAGTCTCAGACTTGGATTGCAGCTTTTTGTGGTTTTGTGTTTACTGTAATATTGAACTTTTCTCTTGGATTACCCTGTTTATTTTGAGGAGTTATAATTACTTCTCAGGTCCGTATATTATGTTGTGTTTCTCTTGCAGAGCTAGTCAATATATTTATTTTTACCCTTCTCTCCTTCCTCTTCCTGTCATACATATTCCCCCACCTCCTTGAATTCATGTGCTTTAGTAATGCAGAACTGTAAAACTAGCTGGATTAAAGGTAGACTGACTATTTCTTTATGTAGCCATAATCATTTAGATGATAGGAAACTGTCCTGCTGCCCTTGTATTCTTTTGGGATTAACTCTGAAATAGTATTAATGACAGTGGTTTTTTTTCTTGTGTTCCTTCTATAGATTCATTGTCTAAAAGCTGAATTAGATTTGTCATTTCCAAGTAAAGGCTATCTCACCTGGGTGTATTGGTAGAAATTGTTTTTATCTTGCACAACTGTAATTTTATTAGCTTTTTCCCAGTATTATTGTTACATTTTTTCCCATTTGGGCCAAATGTCATGTAGAATAGTACATATAATTATGATGATGTCCTGTACTTATAGGAGCCTCTATCTAGTAAATAGGTAAGATATTCTTGTTATTTGTGAAGTAATTTCTTTTTCATTGTTACCATTGTTCCTAGTCAAAACTTTTGCATAAGGTTGTGGAACAGCTGGAAAAAGTCCACTTTGTCACAGATATGCTGTCTAAAGGTGACACCAAATTCATGGTAAGAGCTTTTTTGGTGGTGAAGGATGTTGTGGGGGGATTACTTTTCCTGGCAGAAGCTGGGATGAATACAATTGCTTGGGCTGCTGGAAGTGGGGGTGATGTGTGGGGTTTCTTTTTAAATTATTCTGCTTGCACCTCACAAGAATTTCCTGCAGGTATCTCTTAGGGAATACCTTATGGTGGGATTTCAGTATCAGAAAGTGTGCAGATATCTGTGTAGTTCTGAACCCTGCTGACACAACCTTCATCACATAATGTCAGTTGTGTCTGTGTTGCTGGATGTTTCCTGAAACCTCAGCACAGCATCACTTCTTCAGCAGTGACCACTTCTGTAACTGTGTCCTCAGGATCCTGGAATCGTTCAGCTTTGATCTCAGAACTACATTTACCTGATTTTGTCTAATAAATAATATACTTTTGTCTCCTTTTGTGCCAGTTTTGCTACAGAACAGATTTAATAGACAAGCTACCAGATTTAGGATATAATAGGGATTATGTGGGATGCCTAAAGCAAGTAATGAATTACAAGAACATTAATTTTTTAGATCCCATGCTGACAGTGCAAGGCTTTTTTTCTTTTCTTAACCTGCTGATATTCATGCATACTGAATGAAGTATACTGAAAGCCTGATAATAATGAGGACAGGGAAATGAGGATCCTTCCTGGTGCAATAAAAATGTAAGAAGCAGTTCTGTGCCACACTGAACAACAGTTCCCACAGCAGTGTAAAATAGTTTTTCACTATATTCTGTTATCTGGCTGTTCTAGTTCAGCAGGGATTTACCTTTGCTTTCCAGGATGGCTGAGGATTTTTTAGAGGTTGTTTAGGGGTGGGGAGGTAAAGATGGTTCTCAGATCTGTTTAATTTCATCTGAATTTCTCGCTTGCCTTAATTCCTCACAGGGAGTCTGCCAGCTGCCAGATAAAGAAGATGGCACAGCTTATCCACACCGCAGAATTGATATCAGGTACTGCCGCAAACCCCAAAGCCCTGTTCAGCTGTCTGCCACAGAGCAGGCATTTGCATCAATTTTTTCATTCAAAGCTCTACTGCCATGTTCAGAACATGGCATTTTTAGGTTTCTAATGCCTTTGCAGTGTGGCAGCCACTGGCCAACTGCCAGTAATTACAACAGGTTATTAGCAATAATGCTGTGCTTCAAATCATGATATTCTATTCAGATTCAGAATCTTGTCCTGTTTTATCATCCTGCTTTGACACTGGTTCTTGGCAGGAGTGCAAGCACCATAACCAGGCAGTGGCTGAACACCAGTAACTTCTGGGTAAGGGTAGATAGGCTGAGCCTTTCTTTCTCATGCAGTTCCCTTCACTTTGGCATCTGGCTTGTGGGAAAATTGAAAGTGTGGACTTGCAGAATGTAGACACAGGAGTACAAAGTAAATTTACACGTGGCTAAATTACTGAATTTTAAATGGCCTGTTACTTCTTTGTTGCATATTTGTTCCAAGTCTTCTTTTCTGCTTTTTGTTCCAGGCTTATCCCGAAAGATCAGTATTACTGTGGTGTGCTGTATTTCACAGGAAGTGATATATTCAATAAAAACATGAGAACCCATGCTCTGGAAATGGGCTTCACAATCAATGAGTACACAATCCGCCGCTTGGGTGTGACTGGTCAGTCTGAGTTTTTGCAGAGTATTCTTTCCAGTTATGCACTTTGTGTGATCACCTGCCACTGGTTTTGGATCTGAGTTTTTGCAGAGTATTCTTTCCAGTTATGCACTTTGTGTGATCACCTGCCACTGGTTTTGGATCTGAGTTTTTGCAGAGTATTCTTTCCAGTTATGCACTTTGTGTGATCACCTGCCACTGGTTGCAGTTGTTTTGGAAATACTTCTGATAAATCCTGTGGTTTGTGGAATTTTTCACAGTGTCCTTTTTGGTGTTGGGCACCATTACAGCAAGAAGGGGGAGCTACTTACATGCAGGCAGCTCTGTGGCACAGAGTTACCTCTTTGGGCCTCCTAATCTGCTTAAAGTCTTAATGATTTAAAGATTTTTTTTTCCTTGTGCTGTGCACAGCACATATTTGGTTTCCTACTCTTCACAGGGTATGTCATGTCCTTCAGTTGCTTTGCTTTGGAGGAGAGGTGACTATATATACACAATTATAAATTTATTTAATTGCATAATCACATGGCCCCCAAAGTTAATTCATTACCTGATTTCCTTTGACACTAGTAAGAAAACACCATGAAAATTTTGCAGAGGGTGGGGAGGTCATTTTGGGGAGGAAGAGGTTTTTTACCTACAGCAGTTTTGTTTTAACTTGCCATGCATTTGGCATTTCTGAATGGTACAGACTTTCCACCTTTGAAATATTTTGTGTAATTTCCTTGCAGGAGTTGCTGGGGAGGCCCTGCCAGTAGAATGTGAAAAAGACATCTTTGACTACATCCAGTGGAAGTACAGAGAGCCCAAGGATCGGAGTGAATAATTAACTGCTTGTCAGGCTTTATAGCCTACAGAGATATTTTTATAGCTTCTTACAAAGATGTGATAGTCTTACTTTGAATGTTACTTGAAAAACTGTACATTACTGAAGTCTAAAGCAAGTCCATGGCACTTGGAACAGAACAGAATGTGTCATGAGCAATAAATCCTGTGAGATTCCGTTTTCATGCAGTCACAGGATAATTTGGGTTGGTAGGGACCCCTAAATGTCATGTAGTCCAGTCCCCCTGCCATGAGCAGGGCCATCTTTGACTAGAGAAGATTGGACTGGGCTCTAAGCAATCTGACCTTGAATGTTTCTGGGGCTGGGGCATCCAACATCTCTCTTTATATCTTGTATATGTGTAGATAGCAGAATGAAAACACATGTCCTGTATCATGAAGTCCTCCTGAAGAGCACTAATTTTTAACTGTTCTCTCTATCTCCTCCTACCTGTGTTAAGTGTGTTGGTGCAGTGCTGGAGCTCATGATGAGTTGCTCTTCTAAAATCTTTAATTATGGGCTGTGTGCTAAGGTGGCCATTCTCCTGTTGCATGTGAACTGTGAATTTTGTTTCTAGCTATTGATTGCAGTGCTCTGTGTTTCGTTTGGCTTGGTCTGGTTAATTGAGGCATTGCTACTGCTCCTGTAGTTTCAATTTGCCCTTTTTTATATGCAAACCTGTCAAATCTTATTTTGCAGCTCCCCTTTAATTGTTGGGAAAGGGAATGAGTATTTTGGATGTGAGACAAGGTCTCTTCAAGAATGCATTACTAGTTGTATTTGAGACAGGAATTCTGTTGGTTGGATTATTTTTTTTTTATAATTTTCAAAGTAGTAAGCTACTAGCTTCCATGTGTCACACAGCATGAGCATGGAATTTATTGCTGCTACTGTATTTGAATACTGTGTCTTATTTTCATCTCTTAAGCCTGTAGAACAGCTACATTTTCAACTTGTTATTATACAGGGAGAGTTGATCAATCTTAGTAATGGAGATTACAGGCTGATGCTCTTACTTATCTATTTATTTTCCTCCATTTTTCTCGTTAGGAGCTTTAATTTCTGGGAGTGTTCCTTGGTGCTAATGCATGTAGTAGTATGTAAGAAAACTAGAAGTTAACTTGGTACTATATGAAGTATTTTGATGCCTTATTGTAAAAATAGATGCATAGCTGATATATTTAGTATTTTCTTCAGTAACCAATAGGAATAAACAAATGGAATATTCCATCACGAATGCGTAGTGGCATTTGATTGTTATTTTATTTGCTGTCATTTCAGAAGATCAAAAAGCAGTAACATGTTTACCACGTTTACAGATGTTTCCTGGGCAGCACAAAGCGATGCATTCTCCATCCTCTTCAGCAGCTAGGCCAGAAGACTACTTCGTCTTTGGCCTTGGCACAGAATTTGTTGGCTTTGCAGTCTCTCTCCGTAAAACTGCAAATTCTTTTGTGTAAAAAAAAAAAAAAGAAAAAAAAAAAGGGGGGTTTTTGGAGAGGTTTCTTTTTTTTGTGAAATTTATAAAAATACATTTTGTTTTTTTTTTTTTTTTTTTTCCCTTCTTTCTCCCCGTCTCTCTGTATCTCGGGCGGCGCCGCTCGCTCCCGGGGCGCGGGCGCGCTCCCGCGCGCGCTCCCGCCGCCACGCGGGGCCGCGCGGCCGCCGCCGCTCCGGCCCCGCCGCCGGAGGAGCGAGGCGGTGGTCGCGGGCAAGGCCCCGCCGCGCCCCTCGGGAAACCCAAAACCGACCCCACAAATATTTCTTGTGCAAGGATTATTTTTTTTTAATTTATTTTTTTTTATTTTTATTTTTTTTAAAATTTTTTTTGGTCGTTTTTGGGTTTTTTTTCACTTATTCCACCGTATCCTTGTGGTTCTTTTCCCGCCTCACGCCGTGTCTCGTCACCTGTTGCCGCAGCATCTGGTTGATTCAAATTTAAGAGCTGTGAAACCGAGCTCAGTTCTTCTAGATGAGTCTGTTGTGCAAGCAGAGCTGCAGAGAATTCGTGTTTCAGAATCTCTTTTAATACTATCAAAATCCTTGCATAAAATTTAACATACACATTTAAACACATAGAACACAGAGGATACAGCTGCATAGTGTGAAGAGAGTGAACAGGCTTACGATTTTCCAGCTGTCTCAATAGCCTTATTAAAACGAGGTGTAAACACAAGAGATTGTCACCCAAAAAGGTGACATTTAGGTTGAGAGTATGCTGAGCAGGATGGTGAGGTCCTCCTTTAGTTCAGGTGTTTGCAGTGAAGCTGGAGAGCCCCAAGAGAACCAAGCACAGTTGTCATTTGTCTCTCTAAAGCCCACACCCCATCTGTGCAGGGCAGCAGACTTGAGAGCATGAAAGAGGTAGAGGCATGGCATGACTTCAGAAACTGGAGTGAGGGGTTATTATTTAAGGTTTTTACATCTTGTTTGATGTAAAAATCTCGATGTAGTTTTAAAGTTAGAACAGACTGATGTTTTTCAAACCCTAAAATCAGTCAGTCCCAGCTCCCAGAGCGTGTTGTGGCTCACCACCAACCATGGTGAAGCTTTCAGGTTGTGTGGTTTAGAGGCCAGCTACAAATCCATGATCGTGGAGTGTTTGTAATGTTCCCATGGGCTCCAGATCTTCTAAACCACAGGTTTGTACAAAACCATAGAAAATCCTGAATTGGAAGGACCCCACAAGGACCATCAAGCCCGTGTACTGATAGATATACACTGCAGGTTGGTTATTAAGTCACTGAAAAAAGATACTTGTAAATTGCCCAAGTGCTTCATTTTAGGAAGGGCTGGCTGAAAAGTGGCTGAAAGGAAGACAGAAGTGTTGCATTTGCAGCAGGGAAACTGAGTACAGCAGTAAGCAGCTAAAATGGTGGAAGACAAGTGATGAGTACTTCCACGTGTCTTGTTCACATCATTACTTTTAAGATTACTCTTTCAGTTTGGTATAAACAGATGGGGGGTCAGGGATTTCTGATGTGGGTGTTGCAGAGAAAAATACAAACAAATGCATCAGCAGTAGGAATGGAAAGAGTTGTCCTTAAAATCAAATGAAAGGAGCATCTTTTATACCTTTTATACCATCTTTTGTACCTTTTCTCCTGGAGCAGGTGTGCCTTTACATTTATGCAAACTAATTTTAGAAGAGGAAGACTAATTTTCCACTGGGGAAGAGTTTGCCTACTTCTTTCCTGTGGGTTTTCTGATGCAAAATCCCTAATAAAATGTATAATCTACAGGGCAATATTAATGCCCATCCTTTTGAGCTATTTCTCCCATGTAGTTGTAACAATATTAGGAAATGTACCCCTATTAGCAAATTTAGTTTTTGCTGCTCTGTGTGCACAGTGCAGAAATACTCACTGATGGCTACTGGACAGTATACAGAGATCTTTTTCATATATTTCATATATCTGAAAAAGCTTTCTGTGAAATTACAAGTGCAGATGGAAGTGACACCTGTTTTCCTTTGGAATTGTTAAGCGTTGACATCGTTTGCCACTTGAGGTCCCTTTCAGAATGGGTCCAAAAAATGTGATACCATTGCTTTTGGTATCACAAAAGCAGTGTTTCCTCATTATCAGAACAGCAGTAAGGCTCCCATGAGTTCTTTCTGCAGTGTAAGACTGTGAGGCCAGTCCATCCATAGTGGGATGTAATAGCTGGGGTTCATGATTCTAAATAATGGATTGGCTTTCATAAATTCTTTGAATCAAAGCTTGTTTTGGACAAAGCAGCAATGATGCAAGGATGACTTTGATGAACATTCTTCAAAGATCTGGCAGTTCTGTATTGGTGATGTACTCAGAGACTACTAATCATAGACATTTATTGATGCTTTGGCTGTAGTTGACATTTTATGCTGTTCCAGCTAAGATTCTTAGAGCTTCCTGTGTGTTTCAGATCCAATGGCTGTTCCACCGTCGTACTGTGACTTGGGAAAGTCTGCCAGGGATGTTTTCAACAAGGGATATGGTAAGTAAGATGAGGGTGGTTGGATCACCTGTCACATTTTTTCCTTAGGCATCTTGAAAATGCCTGTAAGAACACAGTACCTCAGAGATTCCCTAACACCTTACCAGCAGAGCCTTGGGGCATATGTGGCAGTGAACAGGTTCCTGAGGAAGAGTGACCCTTATGTTAATCAGAATAGCCTGTTGTTAAAGCTGGAGTGGATATTTTCACAGTATTTATAAATACATTTGTCCCTTTTCTGGAACAGTACTAGAAAGTGTTGATTTTTAAAAAAATCTGAGTTTGTGTGCAATAAAGATTTCATTTGTATCCCAAATCCATATGCTACATAAAACTAAAATGCACTGTGGTCTGGTCTCTCCCACCCTGGAGTGCAGGCTTTGCTAAAAATCACCTCAAGTTCCCTGCTTTAGAGTCAGTTCCTTCAAGCTTTTCTACTTAGTGCAAGGGCCAGATATTTCCCTAGATTCAGAGCAGGCAGAAAAGGAAGAAAGCAGTAGTACTTCTGTATATGGCACTGATTGAAGTAAGTTGAAACTTTTTTTGGAGTAGAGGAGAAGAAAAATTTCCTGCCCTGAAATCAGAAATAAAATGTAAACTAAGTAAATCAGAATTGTATTGATGGGTCCCAGACTACAGGTAGCTCCAGAAGGTGGAAATACTTGATGGTTGGTGTCTGTTACGATTATAAATTATGAGGGAACATACTCTGAGTTGTCAGAATTCCTTCAGTCATTCTTCTCATAATCCTCATAACTCTCAATATGTTCAACAGCTATTTAAACATGAAAGCTGTTTCAGGTCAGTGTACCCACCTGGCATACTTTGACTGTGTTGGAAATAAGCCTTGTTTGTATCTTTCAGTGAAACAGATGCTGTGTGCTATTTTATTTTCAGGATTTGGAATGGTCAAGTTAGAGTTGAAGACCAAGTCTTCCAGTGGGGTGGTAAGTACTGGGGACCTTAAACACCACCAGCATAGCAATGGAAGGACAAATTCCTGAGCTGGTACCAAGTATTAGAACTTGCTAGCAGGTGTTGCTTGTGTCTTTCATTTCTCATTTTAAAACTCATAGCTGCGATATTTCTACAATAGTATGAAGCTGATATAGCAGTACTTTTTCTCCTGTGGCATGCAAGAATTTTCATACACCTTGTTGTTATTTTCCTGCCTGTTCCATTGACATATCCCAAACATGAGTCTCTTCACCTTACATAGTCTCATTTCTGCTTATGAGTGCATCTGACTTTCCCTGCAGTTACTAGTTTTCATGGGAATTTTAGTCCAGAGGGACTTCTATCCAAAGGTCAAGGGACAAATAGGCACTGGAGTTTAACTTAACTGTGTTTTCACTCATTTCCACTGTGCTTAAAATTCAAGATTTAATTAAAACTGAAAACAGTCCTGCAGTATCCTGTATGTAGAATTTGAGAGCTTAAGTAGGCTTTAGCATTCCAAGTAACAAGAATATCCAGTGATCCCCATTTTAATGGTGGAGAAGTGGAACTTCCTCACAGTTTCACAGGAGGGCTGGCAAATCTAGGAATGGGTGTCATAATTTTGATCTTTAACCACAGGCATACATTATCCACCAGATAATATTTTTCTTACACTCACTCTGAGTTCTGCATGTCTTACCTACCACTCAGTGCTGTTCTGATTGGTAAGACAGGTTGCTTCTCAGCCTGCCTTGTAACCATATTTTCCTGAGCTCCCTCCTTCTCTTGCATTCTTATCTTGCAAAAGGTGTAAGTCCTTACTTCTGTATTTCTGTATTTTGTCTCAATTGAGCTTTTGATGATTACTTGCATTGTGCACCAGGAATGTCTGGGCACGAGGAACTGGGTGGTTTCCATACCATGGCTGCCACTGCTTACTGACATCTCTTGATAGGCAGTTTTCCTAGCTGGCAGTTTTGATTCTCAAACAATATGCTAATAGTTAATTATGCTGTCTTCTGATTGTGATGGAACATGAACAGCTGTATAAAGTTCTAAAATGGGCTTTTTCTTTTCCATGCAACTTTCTTTGGATGTTTATCCAGTTGGTAAGAGTGGTGACTGTTTTGACATGTTGGCCCTTTATTGCTTTGTCTGACAAGGCTTTCTGTGCTGCATACTAAGCAATTTGTAAACTGTGGAATTGTTTTTAGTTGTGTTGTTATTCATGTACAGTTTGACTGTGTCCATAGCCCTAGATCTGCTCTATGATCCATGTGTGTAAAGCCATTTGCAATCTTTGTCCAACAATCCAC